AGCTGTCAGAACAGCTTGCAAGCTTTAGGGAAGGCTTGGTGGGTGTTGACAACGGGGAGCTGGAGGTGAGAAACTGAGGGGAGGGGAGGCAGTGCTCAGGGCTGAGACAAGAGCCGTGGCTCAGAACGAGGACAGAGTTTTGGGTTTTGATTTTGAAGATAGCAGAAAGGCAGGCTGTAGCAAGGGAAGGGGCTGAAGGACGGGAGGGAGACGGATGCAGTGCGGTGTGCTCGCCTGAGGCTGACCCCAGCCTGACCAGGGCGAGGCGGGGGACGATGAGAGGGTTTGGCAGGGGCACTGAGGTATTCAGTTTTGATGCAACAGTGTCTTTGGGGCACAGGAGGCCAGGCGGCAGGTGTGGATGGGCCCGCGCCCCCGGAGCCGAGGGGCACCTGGGTGCTGTCTGCCTCTGCTGTGGTTATAGAGCCGCTGCTGTCTTTTGGGGACCATCTCTCTTCTACTCAACCTGTAGTATGTGCAGCTGACCCCACTCCCTGAGGTTGAGGGGTGGGGACATCGCACTACGTACTCTGGCCACAGTGAGAGATGGAGGCCGGGTTGTGACCCTAGCGGGCCAGCCAACACGCCTGAGCCCTTGGGACTTTGGGGGGACCGCTGGGGACAGGTCTTGACAAGATGGCTAGCTTTGCCGTGGCCCTGGAGGCAGCAGAGAGCCCTGGTGAGGGTGGCGGTGGCCATCCTGGGGAGCAAAGCTGACAGAGTGTAGGCTGGGTGCTGCTGGCAGCCGGTTCCCACCCCGACGGGTGATCCTGACTGAGAACGGAGTTGGCGCAGGAGAGCCAGGAGCCTCAGAGGTACCCGTTTCTGAGGACCCCGGGACCCAGGCTTGCCTGAACCCTGTATCCCTTGGACTTAGTCACGTGAGCCAATAAACATTTCCCCCACTCGAAGCCAGTTGGGTTTTGGTCACTCGTAACTGAGAGAGCTCTGGCTGACGGGGACCACGAATGGGAGGCGGTCCCCAGCGGCCCAGGAGCAGGAGGGGCAGTCTTCCCCCGCCCCGCCCCCGCCCCAGTCCGGGGAAGGTGGGCGCCGGGCCCGTGGAGTCGAGGGCCTGCCACACAGGTGTGATGGGTGGGTGGGCGTGGGAGAGGAAGAGACCCTTGGAGCCGGGGGCTGGGCTGTGTCCAGAGGTGAGGTTCTGAACTGAGCAGGTGCAGAGTGATGAGGCTGGGATGGCTGGGGAAGGCAAGGAGGCCAGGGTGCTGGGAGCAGCCTCCAGGCAAAAGACTTGAGGAGACACAGGTGAGAGGGAGACACCCAGGAGCCGCTGGCCTGCGTCTCTGTGTTCTAGGCCTGCTTCTTCGGCCTGCGCGGTGGGCTGATGAGCGTGACCTCTGGAACCAGGCCCTGGGTTCAAATCCTGACTTCTCCATTTGCTAGCCTGGAACAAGTTCTATAGCTTCTCTGTGTCTCAGTTTTCTCATCTGTAAAATGGGGCTAGGGATTACCTGTCTTAGTTATATATGCTATACTGTATATACTAGTTATTAGTTAGGGCAAAGGGCTGACTTAAACTCAAAATACATAGGCTCACATGCAGCGGATGTTTCTTGCTTGTTCATGTGAGACTCATAATGGGATTCATCTGATCAGTGACAGTGCTTCTCCAAGAGGGACTGCAGGGCCCAGGCCCCTTCCATCTTGGGGCCCCACCATTTGCAACCCATGACTTTCAAGGCCAGTGAGGAAGGGACAAACTTGTAGCCCACAGAGGTGTTTTGGGGCCAGGGCTGGAAGTGGTCCCATCGCCTCTTCACTTCCTACTGGACCTGTCACAAGGTCCCACCTGAGGGAGGCTAGGAAAAGTGGTCTAGCCAACCGGTGTGACCGACTGGCTGGTTCTGCCGCAGAACCTCACAGGCCTTTGGGAAGGGCCTGACCCAGCCTTCGCCAAGTGTTAGGAGTGCAGCCTCCGGAGTGAGGGCAGGGGCCCCGGGGAGACAGTACCCCTGACTGGGCCTCTAGGTACATCCTGGGAAGGGGAACGATGGCTGTGCCCGGCGGGCACCCCTGGGCACCAGGAGCCAGCAGCTTGGCTGGGACGGGGCGCAAAGGAGCCCTCTGGAAATGTTTCACCGCTTGGACTGGGTGGTGCTTGTATATAAAAATACATTAAAGGTGCACATTCAAGATGTACATTTTTATGATAACCTCATAACAATTTTATCTATCGGGAACCCGTGGCCTGCTAGGTAGTGACGATTATGAGTGTTCTGGGAGTTTATTTCTGATCGGGGGAGAGAGACAATAAGGAAGACAAATAGTGTGTCAGATGGTGGTATGTGCCCTGGGGAAAATAGAGCACAATTAGGGAGGAGTTGGGAGTCCTGGGGCAGGAAGGGTGCCCCCAGCCATCCCATACAGGGTTCAGGGGAGACTCTGCCAGGGTGAGATTGGAGTAGAAAAGCCCATTAACTGAGGAGAGGGCTCTAGGCAGAGGGACAGCGAAATAGGGAGCAGTCTGAATCACATGGAATTTTGAAAAATTAGAATGATTGTATATCTAACCTTATTTTTGTATTCTGAAAATGCTATAAAACTCAATTTTATTTTCCTAGCTTCTTAGATCTTCTACCATCTTCGATAATTCAAATTAAACATGGTTGCCTGCAAATTCTTTGCTAGGGGAAGTAAAAGCAAAGTACATTTTGGTTTTGCTGCTGGTCTCATGTGCTTTAGCAATGACAGCGCTACTCCAGGCATTTATTGTGCTGGTTTACATAACTAAACACGAGAAAAACTCATAGTTCAAATTTTGACAAGAAATTTTTTTTTTTTTTTTGGTGGCAGGCTTATTTTAAAACGAAAACAAAACAAAAACCCACTTAAAATCTAAAAATCAGATGGGCATTTTAACAACCTGAACTAGGAACTTAAGTCTCTGAAAGAAACTTAGACATGGGAAGCTGTTTCCGAAAAATAGAACCTTTCCTTATTCACTTCGGCTTTTTTTTTTTTTTTAATGAAGATTTGTGGTAAAATGACCTCAAAGAAAATTCCAAGTCACATAGGGCATTCATGTCAGTGCTTTGTAATAGAAATATATTTTATAAGTATTTTAAACTTGAAATGTTTTCAAGGAATTTAAGATTCTTTTTTAAAGCTCTAGTCCAAGTCTTCAGCTGTTCAGTTTTTAAAAAATATAATTTGGGTCTCCAGTGGAGAGGACATAACTGGGCTAAGCTACTTTGATGACATTACAGGATAGGGAGGCTCACATAGAGATCATTTCCTGAACATGGTTGACCTTTAACAGAACGGATTATTTCCTCACCCAAACAGTTATGCAGAATACTGCCACAGTCCTGGAGGATTGCGATTTGATCCTGTCAGGGTTCCCCACGGGCTCGCCCGGCTCCCGCAACCGCGGCCACCACCCAGGAGCCTGATTTAGGAGCCACTAGTCCTGCACTCGGCCTGCCGTGGCTGGGGGGTGTTTTTGTGGCAGGCTCTCAGGGCCTCAGAAGCTTCCCGAAGGGGAAGAAGGTAGTGGTAGGAGCACAGGAGGATCTCGTATCCGCACCTGCCCTGTGCGGGGGGCCCAGGGGCCCAGTAGGCAGGGAAAAGGGAGTTAATGGCCTCCTCTCACCCGAGGGCCATCCTTTCTCAGGTGCAAAAGGTTTGGCTTCAGGACATGGAGGGAACCAACTTCCTGCTGTTCCAGGCCACGGGCACAATGGCAGGGGGATGACTCCTGCAACCCAGATGCTCCACCAGGGGCCTGGTCCCTCCTCTCCTTGGGCAGAGCCTTTGGGAGAGGAGAGGGGGGTTCTGGACTCCCTCGGGGGACTCCTTGTAGCTGGGGAGCGGGGCAGGAGTTGGGTGACCCTCACCTCCTTTCATCGAGTGAACTCTATTCTGAAATCATGTCCTTCCTATTTTGTGTGCATGTGTATGTTCAAATGTCATTAAAAAAAAAATGGGGGGGCGCCTGGGTGGCTCAGTTGGTTAAGCGACTGCCTTCGGCTCAGGTCATGATCCTGGAGTCCCGGGATCGAGTCCCGCATCGGG